TAATCAGAAAAGGAGTGAAGATTAAGAACGAGAAAAAATATATATATTGGGAAAAATAAAAGGTTTAGATTATCGTGAGACATCTGATGACTAAAATCAAGATATAACTGATGAGAGTTAAATGGAGAGAGGAAGAGAGGAAGAAGTATATATATATATAGAGAGAGAGAAGGAGAAAGAGAGAAGAGAGAGAGAGAGAGAGAGAGAGAGAGAGAGAGAGAGAGAGAGAGAGAAAGAAAGAAGAAAGGAAGATATTAGCATCCCATTACACTTTGCCCCCCCCCTCCAAAAAAAAAAAAAAAAAAAAATACACCCCCCAAAAAAAAATCACAGAATTTTCCTCTGCAACCGAACCAAACACGATATAACAATAATAATTAAAAACAGGAAAGCTATTAATACTATGATGACTTACACAATTTCTCCCTGACCTTGACCAAGAGACTAACTGATTTTTTTTCTACTCTCTGTCGTATCGTTTTAGTGGAAGCACAGACTGCCTTGCCTGCTCCGTCGCTTTGTCAGACATTTATCCGGGCTGTCTTCAGTAACTCGTAAGAATAAATGGTATCCAGGGTTGTTTTGAGAAAATAGACTAACTCGTATGAATAAATATGGGGTTAATTTAATGCTATGACGGTTGGGATAACGATTAACTCAGAACGATAGATTAAGATGAAATGGATTATATGCTAATGCTATGTCCTCTGAAGATGGAGAGAGAGAGAGAGAGAGAGAGAGAGAGAGAGAGAGAGAGAGAGAGAGAGAGAGAGAAGAGAGAGAGAGAGAGAGAGAGAGAGAGAGAGAGAGAGAGAGAGAGAGAGAGAGAGAGAGAGAAGAGAGAGAAACAACACGACCTCTGCTTGCTTCGGGAAGAATCGATTTCTGTCACACTATGAATATCAGTCGCCTACAACCTTAGCACTATTTCAAATTGCAGTGGATTTTAAATTCCCAGATAATACACAAGCATTTTTGGCACAAACAAAGAACGGCAAGTGAAATTTTAAAATGGACATCCAAACGAGACACGTGTAAAACATAGGTTCAGTTCGATCTAGTACCAACTGGTCTTCTATTTGGGTACCAACTACTAGGAAGTGGCTATGGTTTCGTCTGGCCACTGTATTTATTTCATTATTATTATTCTAATTTTCATACACTGACCTTCAGCACATACATACGGGTATAGTAAATTCTGTGGTATATAATGGCCAGTCGCGTTATACCCGCCATACAGACATACAAAAAACATCCAAATTTGAACATGAAACGCTTTTGAAAAATTATATTTACATTTTCAAATACTTGGCCCATAACCAGCTGAATTACCTCTCTCTCTCTCTCTCTCTCTCTCTCTCTCTCTCTCTCTCTTTCTCTCTCTCTCTCTCTCACACACAAAAAAAAAAAAAAAATCTTATTTATCACTAACTCAAGTATATGCAGGCCTTAATAAATGATTTTCTTATTTACTATTAACTCAAGTATATGCAGGATTTGATAAATGTTTATTTTCTTAATTACGGTACTATTACACGCCTGGAATTGGCCTTAATGCGTTAATAATGGGTACGACTGTTAAATGAATTACTGAACTACTGCCGTTACAGTAATGGCCTAGTTTTTAAGGTTTTTCCCCTGCTGGTCTTGATTTTAGTTTCTTTGTTGTTATTGGCCTTGACTTTCTTTTTCCTTTCTTTCCCACTTATTACTAATTATTGATTGTATTTTCTTGGTTCTTAATAGCTTTGATTTTTTTTCTATTTTCTTTTCCATCTTTCTTACCGGATTTCATTTTTTTGAATTTACCTTTTTCTTACTGGATGTTATTTTCCTATTTATTACTGGCCGGTTTTCTTTTATCTATTAAAGTTAATAAATATTTAAATAATATACCACACGCAATTATCCAAATTTGGCTGAGGTTGTCATGTTTAGATTTTAAGGATTAACTTCGAACTTGACCTTCCATGCGTAAGATTCGTTTTTGTAATAGATACTTTTTCATATATATACATATGCATGGGCACGTGCGTGTACATACGTGCGTGTGTGTGTGTGTGTGTGTGTGTGTGTACGTGCGCGTGTATACGTGCGTGTGTGTATGTGAGTGTGCATTTTCTGATTCTGTCTCCCTCTCTATCTTTTTTTTTTTTTTTTTTTTTATCAGCCTGCCTATCTACACGCATACAAATGCTGAAACACTGAGGGTTTACAGTCCCGGTAAACACGTGTCTTTATCAGTGGGTTACTTTAGTTTCAGAGACACGTGGCTATTTGGCAACGTCTGCTGTGTTGTTTTACTTGGTCAAGGTGCAGTGTGGCACTGTGGAAAACTGAAGGTTACCACGCACACACACACATCTATATATGTGTATATATATATAAATAAGTTCTATACATATATATATCTACAAACACGTACATACATATGTATGCGTGTGTCTTTTACACATATAAACCAGTGTGTACCTATTTACATCTATCCATCTATCTATCAGTCTATATGTTTCCACACACACACACACACACAAACACACACACATACACACACACAGACATCAATCTATCTCTTTGTATGCGTGTGTGTGTACATATATACATATAATCCCACACAGTACTAAATTGCCCCATGAACCGGCGAGAACAACAGAGGAAGCGTTGCCAATGTGTCTCCATCCCCCCCCCCCGTGTTGTGTTCATGACGTAGCATTTGCAGCTCTGTCAAAGGCAACCTCTCTCACCCAACGTCTGCTTTTTTACACACACAGAAATAAGCCAGACAGACTCACTGGGGATGGGAGAGAATGTACTACTAATGACCGACTAATCTTTAGTAATGCTGAAATAAATTAATGGATGGTACTATGCGTAATGGAGAAGATCCGTGCTCAAATTACTCGAAAAATACTTAGAA